TCAGCCTTCCTCAGTTGATCAAGAAGAGTGTCAAAAACATCCGTAGCTAAAGCATCCACTCTTCTCGCAGTGGTTGTATCGGACAGTGGAATTGATTTAATCGAAGTTATAACTTGCTCTTTTACGTTTTCATCCGTCACCACTTCCTCAACAGCAGCTTGTATGCATTCTTTCACTGTTTCAGCATCTGTAAATGGTCTTTTATTTTTAGTCAATATCCATGCGATTCGCAGAGATGCTGTTGTAGCTTTCTGCTGCAACGTGCAGGTTCGGGTGAAATGCACACAACTCCGCTGATAGTTTTGGCTCAGTGTCTTTATTTTTATCTGTCGAGCCTCAGAGCCTGGTGAATATTCACTGTCAAAGTTAGCGTGACTCGTCTTGAAGTGCCTCCGCACGTTGTATTCTTTATTTACCGAGCAAATGACGAGACAGACAAGGCACATGGGTTTTCCTTCAGCATTTTGAATGTGTGCATACTTATCAGTCCACTCCTTGTTAAATCTTCTATTTTCAGTGTCGATTTTACGTCTCTTCTCTTTTGAATGTGACATGTTTTTTTCCAAGAAACCGCTGTTATAAATCGTCATATACTTTCCATCAGGAGCTGCGCAACTTGTCGTAAAACCTGCGGTTTACGGGCACTGAAGAGCATAACAGCGTCACCGACCTGTTGGATAGGTCCCCGCTCCAAAACGTGCCGTAAAATGTCGCAAAGTGTTGTAAACTGCCGCGATTACGGTTTAGCCATCGGCTGCTAATAACTGCGACACTGCTACTTAAAAAAACTATTTATCAAGAATTATGAAGACAATGGGCCGGTCCAAAATGCTTGATGGGCCGGCTCTGGCCCTTGGGCCACCTATTGAATAGGGCTGCTGTAGATCCTCGTGGTGTGGATCAGTGAGTCGATGTCTTGTTCGCTCTTGGCGACAGCTTTATGTCATCCATTGGGCGACTCTTTGGTCTTTCAGCAGCTGGTGTTTGGCTCCTCTGATATCTCTGCCGATGAACTTCTGTGCTGTGCTCATGTATTGATCCATGTGCCCACTTATCTTAGTTGCTATGATGCCTGACATGAGCTTCCATGTTGTGGGCAGAAAGGTAATTGGCCGATAGTTGGATGGGACTGTACCCTTGCAAGGGTACTTCAGGATCAGGATTGTGCACCCTTCAGTTAGCCATTCAGGGTGAGTCCCAACCTTTAGCAGCTGGTTCATTTGAGCTGCCAGGAGCTCATGGAGTAAATAAGTAAGTAATTTTTATTTGTATAGCATCTTTCACAGGCAAAAGCCAAAGTGCTTCACATCACAGTAAACATAAAATAGTAAATAAGTAGTAATTAAAACAGAGAATAAAACATAGCATCAAAGGACAAGACCATACAGAAATCACACCCACAAATAAGTGCAACGAACTTGTTAAGCAGGTAGGCGTGGATCATGTCAGGCCCCAGTGCTGTCCAGTTTTTCACTTCCGGCTCTTGGAGAGTACAGACGCTTTTTTCTCCTCTGCCTCCCTCCTCATCCCAAGGCTCTTTGTCCTGTTTTTGGGTGCACGGTGCATTTTTTCTGGAAAGTGGAAATTGTTAAAAATGGACCTGGTCAGCTGGTCACTCAATGCGATAGATAACATTTTTTCAATGATGAGAATGGGAGAAGGGGCTCCTGGGTGCCCCTCTGGGACAGAGCCAGCTGGGAATATCATGGACTCCTGGAAACAGTGGAACCTGATCTGCCTCTCTCAACTGTCTGTAGAGGATTCTGAAGATGTTTGGATATTTGTCGTTTTGGTGTCGGGATTCCTGCTGTTCGGCCTGAGTGGTTACCTAGCTTACCGGAAAATTAATGAGCTGTCGAGGAATATTGGCTCAATCCCGGAGCTCAGGGATGGAATGCACCGCACTGTGAACGCACAAACTTTGGCTGGGATTCGGCTCTGGCACAGAAGATGGATTCCATCAAGGAGCAAGTTGACGGATCAGCACGGATTGGGATAGATTAATTATGCCATTAATGGATCTAGAGGGGTTGGACCAACAGAACACTAAGGCAGAGAGGAAATTATCTCTGTCTGTCCCCGAAACTGTCATGTTCTGCGGGTGGAGATGGCAGACCATGTGTGGTGGTGGGTTTCAGGAGGCAGAAGATCAGGCAGACGGATGAAAAAATAAAAAGATGTTTAATCGTAGACTGGGAGCAACAGGACGAACGAACATGCACAAACGACAATGAACCGACAAAGACAGCAACAAGGAGGGAGGTATAAATACACAAGGGAATCAGGAACACACGGGCAGAGTAATCAGGGACAGGTGAGAACAATTAGGCTAATCAGGGTAGGAGAGACACAGTCAGGGAGGCTGGGGCGGATCATGACAGTACCCCCCCCCCCCCTCCCCTTAAGGGGCGGATACCAGACGCCCACAAGCCACAAAACACAGGAGACCCAGGCACGAACGAAGACCAGACTAGGGCACACATGACAAGGGAACACAGAAGACGAGACCAGGGAACAAGGAACACTATCCAGGGCTGCGGAGCAGGGGCCTCTCGGTTCAGGTGGCACAACTCCGACTTACAGAAGTTCCCACGAACTCAGACCAGGGACGCGGAGCAGGGGCCTCTCAGATCAGGCGGCACTCCGTCTTACAAAGGGTCTCTCGAGCTCGGACTGGGAAACCCGGAATCGAACCAAAGACTCGGGAACAGGGGACTCGGACACTTGACTTGGACTCGGACACTTGACTTGGACTCGGACACTTGACTTGACACGAAGACTTGACTTGACACGAAGACTTGACTTGACACGTAGACTTGACTTGACACGAAGACTTGACTTGACTTGAGACACGAAGACTTGACTTGACACCTTGACTTGAGACACGAAGACTTGACTTGACACGAGACACGAACACTTGACTTGACTTGAGACACGAACACTTGACTTGACTTGAGACACGAACACTTGACTTGACACCTTGACCACGAAGACTCAAACACTTGACTTGACACCTTGACCACAAACACTTGACTCGACACTTTGACCACAAAGACTCGAACACTTGACTTGAACACTTGACACCAGGAACACTAGACTCGAACACTTGACACCAGGAACACTTGAGACAAACTGCAGCAGCAGGCGTGGGACCCAGCAGGAACTGCAGCAGCAGGCATAGGCCCCAGCAGGAACTGCCGCGTGGAGAACCTGCAGGCACAGACCCTGCAGGCGTGGACCAGGAACTGGTAGCAGCGGGAGCGACGCGTGGAAGCCCAGCTCGGCGGCAGGTACTTGACATCCAATCAGAGCAGGTGCACATCCCGATCTGCTGGGTCCATCGGCGGAGGCTCGGGTGAAGGGAAGCCGGAGAAGAGTGGGGAGACCAGCCCTACCACACCGGAGAACAATGGCGTGCGTAGGGGGTGAAGCTCCCTCGAGGCTCCAGGATCCGTGGCTTCCAGGAGAAGAACGGGACGGGGCAAAAACAGCAGGAGGTGAATGACCCTGACCACCCCGAAGACAAAGTAGGATGCGCCAGGATCTCCCAGAGGACTTCGACCACCCCGAGAACAGGTAGGATGCGCCGAACACAAAACTCCAGGCCAGAAATCACCCTCTGCTGAAAGGGAAAAAAAAAGAAAAAATAATCCTCCAGAAGCAGGTGTTAGCTCACCACAGGTCCAGGTTGGTCGGTTCATTCTGTCATGTTCTGCGGGTGGAGATGGCAGACCATGTGTGGTGGTGGGTTTCAGGAGGCAGAAGATCAGGCAGACGGATGAAAAAATAAAAAGATGTTTAATCGTAGACTGGGAGCAACAGGACGAACGAACATGCACAAACGACAATGAACCGACAAAGACAGCAACAAGGAGGGAGGTATAAATACACAAGGGAATCAGGAACACATGGGCAGAGTAATCAGGGACAGGTGAGAACAATTAGGCTAATCAGGGCAGGAGAGACACAGTCAGGGAGGCTGGGGCGGATCATGACAGAAACAATTCTTATCTGAATCTGGTGCCCTTGAGTCTGTGATGAGGTGGTGAGCGCTGCTCCATGCGGCTGCACACACTGAAGTGAGGAGAGTCCCAACCCTACCTCCCCACCTGGTGGACACTTATGTTGTGTAATGTCTGAAGTCTGTGTGCATATCTGTCTGAGGTGTTTTTATTTATTTATTTTTTTTGCATAGCAAAGCTACCCTCTCTGTGGAGGGTAACTCTGAAGTGCCTTTTTTCCCTCCCCCTGACTCTATCCTCATATACAGTAAACCCTCTTGATCTATTACGGTAGTGCGACTCGGGTTGCGAATGACCACAGTCACCAATTCTTGTCATGTGTCTATGTAAGTATGTCTGATCTCAGAATTGTGTGTACTGAAACTCTAATTTCCCTCTGGGATTAATAAAGTATTTTTGAATTTGACTACCTGAGACCTTTTCTTCTTCTGCCACAGTGATGGATACTGGCTTCTTCTCAAGGAGGTTCTCTTAGAGAGGCTAGCCACTTTGCCTTGCTGTTGTGTGATGCCTCCTTCTCCCAAATGCCCTTCCAGTACTGTTCAGTCTCCAGCCTTGGTGGGTCTGCTCTGTTATTACCCTGCCACTGAGAGTACTTAGCTGGTTGGGTCGAGAAGAGCCGGTTCATTCATCTGGCTTCACTTTCTCTTGTGCAGCTCCTTAGGTGGCTTAGAGCCTTTGTTTATCAGTTTCCAGTGCTTCAAGTATGGGTATCTGGCTGTAGCTCTTGGGTTCTGTTTTTTTTTTCTTCTGGAGCTCTGACAGTTGGCTCACTTCTCTCCACATTGCCTTGATTTAAGCCTACAACCTACTTTTCCATGGTGGGTATTATTGCTCATGCAGCCAAGCATCTCAAGAATCACTGCTGCTGAAGTGAATATCTTCTCATTGGTTTCAGTGGTGGTTGTACTGAATCACACACACACGCGCACGCACGCACACACACACACACACACACACAAATACAGAGTCAAAAGAGGCTGTTTATATATACTTTTATTTCCATGACAGGACAGTTTTTAGTGAGGTAGACTATAACAGGTCAAGCATTAAAAACACTGCTCCACAAACTGGTGTAGAAATGACATGAAATAAACACTTTCATGTACAATGTCTTCAAATTGAGGTAGAAATGGTTACAGAGAATGTACAAAATATGTCAAAAGTACAACTAAATAACCAAAATAACACAGAAATTAATCTTTGACTTCTATTATTCAGAGCAAAACCAATAAAAAGCTGTTGTAGTTAATGTAGCACATGTTCTTTGTGCGACTTTGAAGAGCATTTACTTCTTGTAGCTTAAGCGCTTAAAATTTTAAAGAATTAGGGGCAACATGTTAGTATTGTATACCTAAGAGTTCTTTTTTCATCTTAGCTCGTTTTTTTAAAAGGAACTTTTGGTTTAAAACTTTTTTAAATGTACGTCTCCCAAAGGGACGTCAAAATACATTTTTCATCCCAGCAAATTTCAGGTGCTGCATATCAGCCTAAGTTTAACTATTAAAAGCATCCTTGTTTTATTTTATTTTTTTGCCTTATTTATTTATTTTTTTGCTTTGAGTTGCTTTCAGTTTTGGTTAAAAATTTCTAATGAACTGACATGAGAGGTGAAGGCTGTCTTTATAAACATTTCCGTCAGAAAGGACGTTTGGGTTTTCATTTTTCAGGAGTGCTTTTTGTTTGTCAGCTGAACTGTTTTGCCAACACTAACTACACTAACACAACATGCCAATGTTTTTTTTTTCCACCAAATCCTATATGAGAATTACATCTATACACAAAGAAAACAAGTTTCATATATCTAAAACATCATCGATGAACATTATGGCATGTATTGTCCTTAAAAACAAAAAAAATCTGAATTACATTCAACGTTTCAGGCCTTGGTACAAAAACTTCAAGTTTCCCAGAGATAAAAACAAAAAAGAAGCTGAGGGTGTTTGTGCACGGATGTTTGATATCACTAAAGGCCTTGTCAGTTTCTTAGTTTCCCTGAAGTTTTAGCCATGGCTCCATAAAAAAAAAACACTTTTAAATCGTGCTCCATAAAGCTCGCTACCAACACCCTAAGGTCATAACATACATTCTTCTTATATCATTCTGAGGTAACAGTTTTCTTCCTGAGTATTCACGACTATTAATCATCCTTCTGAGAGGCTTAAGAACAGAGATTGCATATAAAAAAAGAAGTAAATCATAGTAAAAAAAAAAAGCAATTCTTCATAAAGAATTACTACATTGAGCGAAAAGTGTTACGAGGCACTCACTCATTCTCCACAGAAAGCTGCAGGACTCTCAAACTGTGACTTTCAACGTTTATGCAAATTCAAAAAGATTTGAATGTTAGCAGTTTATGCTTTTGTTATGAAGTGCCATATTACTTTATTTTGAAAGAATCTTAAATATTAAAGACAAGGCATGAGACAGACTGGAGAGTACGTCATATGTTTATTCTAAGCTCTTTTAACCGCTTCCTTCTGTCCATCATCAACTGCTAAATGTCTTATTGTTGAAATGATAAAAGATGAAGATACAATTTTCATTTGTCCAGTTTTTATGTTTAACTTAGCCTTCTTTTATTACATTAAAATGTAAAGAGTTTAAATTGATCTTTTAAAACTTCTTTCCTTCTACTTGATAAGCAGCTTTGTTTGACCAAAGGGGACAAAACCAAAGCTTCCAACAATAAATGTAGAAAGTAGAAAGGGCAGAGTTCTACATTAGAAATTAAACAATGAGGTGAGAAATAAAAACAATCATTTTTTGAGGTCAGGTGATGCACAAAGCCTTGCGGTGATTGTGCTAAAGTTGCATGGTAATCTCAACGTTTCATTTATTTGTCAGTTTCATTTTTTTTGGTCAGTTATGATTTTTTATTTCCAGGGCCTTTACCAAAGCAGGTTGTGATGCTGCTTTCACTGTGGCTGAGCAGAAATGAAGAAGATCCTGAGAAAAACAGACACAGGCGATCTTGATGCGATCTATGTGGAGAATGGCTCGACCCAACCCCCCAACACTCATCTCAACCTTAGAGGCCAAAATGTCCATTTGAATCTTTGGAAACAAGTGATGGACATGATGTACAAGTAGAGGTATTGTGCCCTCTAGTGTTTGGTAGAGGTATTACACGTGTCCATATGGGTTTACTTGCAAATTAATTTAAGGGATTATCAGCGACCACCAGTGGGGTCCTCTGCTCGTGTGTGAGGTGCAGGTATCTTCATTCTTGATGGCTGAGGAAAAGTGTGCTCCCCTGATACCCTCTCAACTGCTAGACCTGACGGTGGGCTAAAGTCTCCTGCTCCGCCATAAGGAGGTGAGATCAGAGGCTTTGCAGATTTGTAGGCCTGTGGGTCGGAGGCCAAGCCACTAATATTGTAGCCATTTCCCTGCCCGCTACCTTTGCTCTGGCCATTGCCAAACTTTTTGTAGCGCGATCCCTCCACCTCTGCTTCCCCTTGTACATCCTCCGTCATCTCAAAGGCTTTGCGTTTTAGCTGCACTCCTCCATCAGAAGTTCCTCCAAGGCTGTGGGATGGGTAGCTGTAACTGCCCCCGACCACTGTGGGCCTAGGGGTCAGAGGAGTGGGAGCACTTATTCCTGAGGAAAGGTAGGAGGCACTAGGGTGGGTGTATCCAGAGGACAGGCCGGACTGCGGGTAGCAACCTGGTGGGTAGTTGTAGACAGGTGTGCTGGCGCTGTAGCTGGTCACTAGAGTAGGTGCAGCCTGCAGAGAGTGTAGAGGGGCAGGTGGAAGTGCTGTGCTGGGCTGTGGGCAGTATCCTGAGGGCAGATAGGTGCTACTGTAGGAAGGAGGGTATTCCTGAGACGGAGGAACGTTGCAAGAGCCGGTGCCACTATAGCCTGGTTCTGAGGCTAAGTTACTGCTCACCACCGTTACACTTCCAGTGGCTGGGATTCCCACAGAGGCAGAGCCCACTTTGGAGCCACTCAGGGCCTCCAGTCCAGGGTAGCATTCCATACCCTGACCTATAGCCCAGGGCTCCGATTCAGTTTTCAGGAAAGTTCCTGACTCTGAGTAGGAACCTGTAGGAGGGCGTTCATACGACAATTCCAGGCCAGAGTATTTCTCAGCATAGCGTTTGAGCAGTGAAGAAGCAGTGAGGGCTGATATGTCATCACTGGCCCAGGGATAACCTGCAGGGGCGTAGCCGCGTCGCGCAACACTAGTGTAGGGGTCTTGTTTGAGGGCAGACTGGGGCGACGTGGTAGACGTGACGTCTAGGTGCTGCTCAGGCCACTGAGATAAAGGGGCAGTGTGCTCCGGAGACCAGTGCATCTTCAACAGACCTGATAGAGACAAGGAAGCAAGGGTCAGCTCAAATACAGACAAGGATAAGCTTTCTACGTGAAATAACTACTAAACACCTAAACGTGTTTTTGTTCCCCCTTAAAGGCCACCTTGAATTCTCATAATCACCTAAAAACTGAAGCATTTTCAAAGTCCTTTCAATGCTTAGCCCCCGCTCCTTCACACAGTCTCGTCCAGGCAGGGGACGGACGTTCTAACCTTTATGTGAAGCTGCCAGCATAGCCCCCAGCCTGGTCTCCACGGCGATAAAACCCTGTCAGCCTGCACGCTACCCTCTGAATCCGTTTCTCTCACATTGGAGCCATTGTTGTCTCTCAGTGAGTCACAAAGCCACCCCCTCCAAGCGTGTGATCTAATTCTGCCCAAACCTCGGGGGTCTGCAGTGCAGGGGGGTTACAGAGAAGAGGGATCCGGGTAATTTTCTCCTCCCCGTCACAGTCACTTGTGCAGAACTTCCATAAACACCTTTACCACTGTCGTGATTGACTGGGCGTGCAAAAGATGTCTACTTTTCATGTAACATGGGCAATCACTGATGGACATCACCACAGAGTAATCCACTTGTTTAGTGGCTGAGCACCACAGGCTTTTTGAACTGGAATTAGGAGGACATTCCAGGCATTGCAGAGAGTTATTAAACTGTCCTGATCCCAGGCCTGGGCCAGAGACACTTCCCTGCTTCAGCATCGGACAGAGTTGGATGTTTTTACAAGACTTCAGGAGAATATATCACTTTTATGCCAGCACAACACAATCCTGTGATACGTCTGGTGTTTTGTGTTTTGGCTTGTCTTTATTTTCCAGATTCTCTCAACATTAACTGTTCCAGTGAAATGTTTCATAAATTTGAATGAAACAAATCGGGCTAATAATTAAAAGAATGGGTTAGTTAGTTCATTCTGAGACTAAATAGTCTAAATAAAAGCATCTAAATGATCAGAAAGCATTCATTTGAGAGTTACCGAAGCAGGAAGTGCCTGTCTTTTATTAGCTTTTGAACATGCAAACACCTTCACTGGCTCCCCTGCCTGGTCTGACCCATGTCTACATTTGGATTACACCAGGTTGAGTCACATGTTTACAAGGACCACCAGATGGGCCTCTAACCAATCCACATGTTGATCCCTAAATCAAATGATCCCTCAGCCCTCTAATCCCTTTCCTCCAATCCAAGGATCGCAGAGCTCTCGGCCAGCAGAAGCTTCAAACTGAATCATGGAAATCCCAGAGGTCCAGGCTTCAAAAACCTTATTACAGATGGAAATATCAGCTAATTTTCCATCGCACTGAGGTTAAAATGAAAATGATCGACTATCTAAAGTCTACAGTTTTGACAAACAACCATGTGACAGGAGCTTAGAGCATCGAACCACATGTACACGTTGTCTACCTAATATATTCCCCCTTTACCAAAAATAGGTTAACAGATAGCAATAATATTTTAGAGTTGTATTTTGTCATGTTTAAAGCTCCTGGTGTTAATAGACAAGAGGATCCTCTAAAACATTCCCTCGCCTAACAGTTTACAGGATGATGGAAGAGGGTGTTTACCTCTATTAAAACATTTAAAACCAAACAGAAAGTGTCCTAAAGGTTGTATCTGTTTATTGTTTTAGGTATTTTCTCTAATTCTTATTTATTTGTATTGTCTGTAATCTTGTTCTTTATGCTGTAGTTCTATTTTTGAATCCCAATATTAGCATGCAGTTAAGCATTTGTTTACCTGCATCAGACTAACGCTGCTCTAAAGACACTCTAAATGATGATTAAAAACTAGAAGTGCGGGTGCAATCAACCAGGATCATCAGATTAATATTCTCTGGTCATGCGCGGTGCAGGAAAGAAACAATCACTTGGTGTCAAATCATTTTAGAGCACAATATCCTCAGTATGTCTGGAATATTTTGCAAACTCTTATCTATCATCACAGTGACGTTAAGTCTTGATTAAATGGATTTAAACTCCTCAAATCCTCAAAACGGCACACATAAGTCATCTAAAATATGCAAATTACAGCAAGATTTCTAGTAATAATAGTTTTCATATGAAAATATTTGCCTTCACAGGCAAAAGATACAATCAAATTTCTGTTTTGGCTTCAAAACTTGGTGATCAGTGGGTGCAGCAGATTAAACTCAGATTTACAAACCAAAAAACACGTTTCACACACTAATGCACACACATAGATGTGACAAATCACAGGTGACTGATCATCTTTTGAATCTTTAGAATAAATATCTTGACTGAAACAAATTGTTTCCCTGCATGCTCTGAGTCTCGTGAGCTGCGGCGGTGTGTGGAGACGAGTCACAGCTCTGATGTGGTGGGAGCTGTTGGCCGCAGGACTGAGATGTTTTTACATGGACATTAATGAGATGTTTACACTGGGAACAAGTCCCGGATCCATGTGGGCAACCCACAGCTCGGCTGTTTATTCTAAAAGTTCTGTTTGTTTCCTGGATCGTCTCGCTGTGATTCCTCTAATTCAGATGAAGCAGAAACACATTAAAAACCTTTATTTTGACATCTGAACACAACTTCATTTACAATATATTCAATGATATAAGAGATTATTTACCTCAGTTGTAATCTATAAGGTATATTGTAGTCTAAAGGTCATAAAGAAACCAATTGATGTGAAACAATGATGCAGAAGGAGGTTCTTACTACATATTAAAACAGAGCTAGTCAATTTCAATAAAATCATGTCTTTTCTGATTTATCTTTCATTTTTAACTGGATACACATCTTCTTTTCTTTTGATCGCTTACATCTAAACTAAGACATTTGAAATCAATCCACCAAATTTTCTCCTTTAAGGAAATTAATAATCTTGCAGAATGAACTCCAGCCTCTCTCTTTACTGCTGTTGTTTAATTGTTAATATTTTAATTTCAGTCACTGTATTCATCATAATCTTAAAGAGACAATGTGCAATTTTTTGCGTTAATCCATCGAAACGTTGTTGAAAATGAATGAAAAGATGCCCAGTTAAAAAATATTGGCAGCTTCGTAACATGTAACCATAAAAATCAGGTCTAAAATGCATGGGGGCGGGTCTAAGTCTCTGGGTGACGCCATATTAGATGCCATGTTTCCTTCTATGGAAGCCCGTGAGGACAAAATGCATTTACTGATTTGTAACAAACTGTTACAAAACTTTCGCCATTAATAAACATTGTTTTACACTTTTACTTCTTCACTCTTTGGCAGTGATGAAAGGGAGTCTGATGTGCTTGTTATTTTGCTGGACCTTTGACCATAATGGCCATCCGTTGGTAAGGTCCTACTCGAACACAAAAACACTGCTTGTTTGCAATGATTTGGGTATGTACTGCTCCTTATCACCAGGGAAAATACACACTGTCACTTTAATGACAAAGCTCCTGGTGTGGTTGCCATGGAGAGTAACGATACTCAGGATTGATTAATGTCACCTTAATTAGTTAATTAGTTAAAAACCCAGAGATCACAGTAAATCCCCAGACATATTACTTTATGGGCAGCAGTAGCTCAACAGGTTGAGCGGGTTGTCCGGTAATCGGAAGGTTGCAGGTTTGATCCCAGCTCCGGTCAGAGAATTCTGCTGTTGTGTCCTTGGGCAAGACACTTAACCCACCTTGCCTGCTGGTGGTGGTCGGAGGGACTGGTGGCGCCTGTGCTCGACAGCCTCGCCTCTGTCAGTGTGCCCCAGGGCAGCTGTGGCTACATCGTAGCTCATCCCCACCAGTGTGTGAATGGGTGAATGATACACTGTAGTGTAAAGCGCTTTGGAGACCTTACTCTAAGAGGCGCTATACAAGCGTGGGTCATTTATCATTTATTCTGCACAGAATTTAAAAAATGGAAATATTTGTTTAGCTTTGTTTCATTTAGCCCATTTTCAAAACTCTTTTTAGTTTATACTGCAGTTGAATTTGTTTACATTTTCTTACTAAAATACACAAATGATTATTTATTAAGTGAAAATTAGATTTAGTTTAAGAACAAAAGTCTTCTTAATTTAAACTTCAGCATCAGTCAAAATAACAGCATTGTCCAATTTTTAGCCGATGTAATTAGCGTTAAAAATGGAAAGTTTGACGGATATATTGTGGTGAACATTCACCACTGTAAAGCTTTTTGTATGTCTGCATTTCTGAAAATCAAAAAAGTTACCACCGTCACCTTATCGTGGTGGAGGAGTTTGAGTGCCCTAATGATCCTAGGAGCTATGTTGTCTGGGGCACTTAGTGCCCCTGGTAGGGTCTCCCATGACAAATTGGTCTTAGGTGAAGGGTGAGACAAAGAACGGTTCGAAGGATCTTTCATGGCGGTGAAAACGAAGAGTCGGAGTACCCGGCCCGGAGGGTTACCGGGGTCCCACCCTGGAGCCAGGCCTGGGGTTGGGGCCCGTGAGCGAGCGCCTGGTGGCCGGGCTTTCGCCCATGGGGCCCGGCCGGGCCCAGCCCGAACCGGATACATGGGCTCGTCCAACTGTGGACCCACCACCCGCAGGAGGAACATGAAGGGTCCGGTGCAATGTGAATCGGGTGGCAGACCAAGGCGGGAGCCTTGGCGGTCCAATCCCCGGACAAGAAAACTAGTTTTTGGGACATGGAACGTCACCTCGCTGGTGGGGAAGGAGCCGGAGCTTGTGGCAGAGGTTGAGCGGTACCGGCTAGATATAGTCGGACTCACCTCGACACATTGCATTGGCTCTGGAACCCGAGACCTGGAGAGGGGTTGGACACTCTACTTTGCTGGAGTTGCTCCGGGTGAGAGGCGGAGGGCTGGGGTTGGCTTTTTGTTAGCCCCGAGATTCTCTGCCTGTGTGTTGGGGTTTACCCCGGGGGACAAGAGGGTAGCTTCCTTGCGCCTTCGGGTCGGGGAACGGGTCCTGACTGTTGTTTGTGCTTATGGGCCAAATATCAGTTCAGAGTACCCACCCTTTTTGGAGTCCCTGGGACGAGTGCTAGATAGTGCTCCATCAGGGGAC